TGGCTGTAAGACGCCGGGTGTCGACCCTGATCCAGGGTGTGTCTACCGTAGACGATGGTGCGCACTTTAACACCCTCGTCAACGGGATGACGGGGGAGGAAGATGGCGACGTCCGCCTCGAGGCTATGCCTGCAGTGTATGCTCTTCTTGAGCTGGACGAGATGTCCCTTAAAGAGTTCGGCAGTGCCTTGTTGGCAGGCGATTTGGCCGAAGTGGTCATTATACGACCGGGCGAGGAGATAAACTCGTCATCGCTTCTGGATGAAGCTGTCTTGAAAGGCACCGAGAGTGCTGAACGCACGAATTGGACCGTCGATCCAACGGAACTCTTCGGATCTGTACTATCCTTTGGTCAAGGGATTTCAGGACGCCGTCTGCAAAGACCCGCCTTTGGTCCTACTTCCGGACCGAGGTGTGCGTCATGAGATCGACCTGGTTTCGGGAACCAAATACTGCGTAACTCGCCAATGGCCCCTGCCCAAGGAGCAATGCGACGTCATTGACGACTTTTATCGTGCGAAGCACGACGCAGGGATGGTACGTGAAAGCAAGTCTCCTCATTCAACGCCCACGTTTTGTGTCCGGAAGCCGAACGGCAAGTGGCGTACCGTTCATGCTTACAATAAGCTCAACGCTGCCAACATTCCGGCACAGACGCCGATCCCTAGAAAGGATGTTCTTCAGTCAACATGGTGGGATGTACGAAGTACAGTGCACTTGAGTTGGTAGATGGGTTTAACCAATTGCTCATGAGAGCGAGTGATATTCCGCTGACAGCTGTGAGCACTCCGACCGGCGAGCATCTGGAAGTGTCTGGTGGTGCCTCAAGGGCTGTCAAATGCACCAGCAACGTTTGATCATCTTGTGACGCAGTTATTCAGGCCCCACAAGGCGTATGCACAGACATACTTTGACGACATTCTCGTCCACAGTCGTGCGGAGCACGGGAGGGCGGATGAGGAAAACCACATCGTCCATTTAAGAGCGGTGCTCGAGTGCATGCGCACGAACGAAACTGTACTCCAATGCAGAAAAGTGCATCTTTGGCGCAGAAGAGATTCCTTATCTGGGTGCTTCATTGGGAAGCGTGGCCTTCGAGCTGATACCGCTAAGGTCAAGGTCATTGTAGACTGGCCGATTTTAAAAAACCAGAAGGACTTGCGTAAGTGGCTTAGTCTCGACAACTACTTGCGCAAGTACAGCGTAAACTACGCAGAAATGGTTCGACTATTATCCAATCTTTTTAAAAAGGATGCGGAATAGTGTTGGAGCACCGAACATCAGGGGGCTTTTGACGGGGCCAAAGACAGCCTCGTGTATGCACCAATACTGCCGCTGCTAGACCCTGATCGTCCTTTTAGCGTCGTCTGTGATGCTTCGGACTTTGCCGTCGGCTGTGCAATGCTGCAAGCAGACGCCGAGGGGCAAGATCGGGTGATCGCGTTCGAAGCTTTGAAAGCTCAAGGCTGCAGAGAAGAACTTCCCAGTTAATGACAAGGAGCTACTTGCGATGAAGTTGCACTTGTCAAATTCAGAGTCCACCTGCTCGGCTCCAAGCCGTTTGTGATCTATACAGATCATGCGTCACAACGCACTGCGACTCAGTAGCCCCACCTCTCGCAGAGGATGGCTAGATGGCTATCGTTCTTTGCGGAATATAACTTCGAGGTGAAGTATAAGCCGGGAAAGCCGAATGCTTTGGCTGATGCGTTGTCACCCAGACCAGACTATACGCTTGCTCATGTTACAACTCTAACGTCGTCTCTGACGGATTTGGTCCGCACCGT